GGCTGGCATGGTTCAGGCTTTGCTGTTGCTACGGTGTAGTCAGCGCACCTGTACCTGCCACAAATGTTGCTTTCAGAGCAGGATACAAAATTGCTTAAAAATACCATTGTGAAATGAGGCCAAAAATATAAATTCCTTTTTTTGGTAAGGAAAAGGATGGAAAACGCTTAAGCATGAGGCTGATGAGCAACTGTTTTAACCCTTTTGCAGGATGTGGGGTAACATGCCCCTGTCCGACCATGTAGGTGGGACTGAGAAGGGCTATGGCAGTTTTACCTCTTTTAATTTATATTGTCTTCTTTTTATTTTTTTAATTCCCTTCTTCAGCCTCAGAGGCTGTTGTTAGTACTACCTGAAACCCAGACTCCAGTATCTCATGGGTGGCAATCTTCCCAGCAAGGGTGGTAAAGGAGGCCTGGCAGCTCGAGGGGCACTGCTCAACCCCAGCGAGCCTTTCATCCACCTGGCAGTGCGCGGGCACGCTGCCAAGTCTCCGCAGGCGGCCCTGTAATGACTGCCTGCATGGGACGTCAACCACCACCAGACAGGCACAGAGCACGTTCTTTTCATCTTACGCATTTCACTACATGATGTCTAAAATGGAGGAGTACTTTTTTGTTTGACCTTTTTTGTTTCATAAAGAAACAACAGAATTGTTTCACTTGCTTTCCTCTGCTGTATTCTCATAGGGAAAACTATCTTATTTGATCAGATCTTGGGTATGGCTGGTGCAGGATCTTACCTTACATAATACCCTGCCTCAGATGCTCCAGAGAAAAGTCTAAGTACCTTACAGTAAGAAGAAGCAATTACTCTGTCCCTCTGCCGTTTCAGCACAAGAACTTCAGTAACTTTTCTCTCCAACAGCCTCTTTTACTAATTGATTTGAACCATTATTTTTTGTTAGCTGATTCTGTTTTATGAAGATTCTTACATTGCCTGTTGTTACTGGAATGTGCAGGATGGCATTAAACGCATCGGTGTGTAGGTCAGCCTAAGAGTGGACTGAACAACTTGACTAATAGCTGTTACAGGCATCATATGCTCTTCTTTTTTGGTTATTCTACTTTAAGATACATGCTTTAATTTTCTGTTACTGATTCTACTTTGACTCACAGAGATTAAAATGGTGGTGGATGATGTAAACAGTATTTACATGACTATTTCCCCTCATAGTGCTGTCCAGAATTGATAAAGGCTTAAGAGTGGACTTGGATTTCTGGAAACCCTTTGGCTTTTTCCTTCACCAAAGGTTTAAGAAGAGAATTGGTTACCATGGAAGAGTATCGAAATCCTTATTAAAAATAGAATAAGTAATAAAAGGTTTTTACAGTAAAATCCCACAGAGTTCTGTGCTAGGATTTGTGCTGTTGAGCATGCTCATTTTAGTTTTTTAATATTTTCCCTCCTTTATGATTTCTACTAGCTTTTGTTAATTTTTCTTTTACTCCATTTGCTTACTGTTTCTCCTTTTTATAATTTTATGTCCTTTCACTTCTCAGGAAGTATCACATCCTAGCATCTACCACTTCCTACCAACCTTTACCCAGTTTCCTCCAACTCCTTTCACAGAAATACGTAATTCTGCATTTCAAGTCCTCGATTTCACATGCACTTTCTCTGCAGATTCAACCTCTCACACACTTGCTTTCTTTATACAGTTTTTACAGGCAACACCTCTTTCCTGGGTTTCTGCGACATAAGCCAGGGAGCAGCAAAAGCCAGCTGCTTTCCAGAGAACGTAGAGCCAAGAGTGAGAATGCAGCCAGGAGGACAGGAGCTTCACCAGCCAGGGCCCCATCCCACAGTACCCGAGCAAGGAGAGCAGGGGAGGTCCAGGGACGTTCAACCGTGAGTTCAGATGGTCAGGCAAGTTCATGGTGATGAGGCAAGTGCCAGGTGAAGCCCGGAAGGCAACCTTCCAGTCAGGGTCAAGGCCAGCAAGGGTCACCAGAGTCAGGCATAGTCCCATGGTCACCAGGCAGGTACAGAGTGACAAGGCAGTTTTGTGGTCAAGCTGGGAGTTCTTTTCACAGGTCACGGTCCAGATCATTGGAGTCCATAGCCAGGCATAGGCATGGCTGTGACTCAGCTGAAGGTCTAGGGCTGAATTTAAATAGAGTGGCCCATGAGCAGTGGGTGTGGATGGAGGCACCAAGCGCAGCCATTAAGGTTCATTAGTGCACTCAGGGCCCTGACAAGATCCTCTGTTTCAGTGGGGTCATCTTCCATACATGCAGAAGCTACTGCAGAGAACAGTTTTTCACTAAAGGACCAAAGTGCAGATAGGAGGGAACGGTGGAGTGTAATCATATCCAGACAAGGTCTAATACCCCTGTTTCAGGGCTGCTCCTCATTCAAAAGGATCCAGAAATCATTATTCATAAGGGATGGCTATGCTGGCGATATGGCTTGGCTGAGATCTGTGGGAGAGGCACTCATCTGAAATAACAGGCAAACTGTACAGGTTTGGTAATCTGGGATTATGTCAGAAGAGATTGGCTCACCCAAGCACTCCTGGCTGTTCCATCTACGTCAGACGGCTGACTCCGAATGACTGAGTGCTCACCCAGATAAATCAGTGTTAGCATACAGCAAGGATCTTTCTAAGAAACGTTACACTTACGGCATACCAAATTCTACAGAGAACTATAATACAAATATTATGTGGAAATCTGCGCAGCTATTTTACATCTTTCCAACTGCAGTTACACAGGGGCACATCAGGAACGCCACAGCACTGGCAAGCTGTGCCCAGAGTTCAGCTGGGGGGCAGAAGAAGTCTTTACAAAGGGAAGCTATATAAGTTATACAAAGTAAGGTAGTTTGCTTTTATTTTTTATTTTTTAAGCCTGGTTGGAAATTTCTTCATGAGCTACGACTGAGATGAATGTCTGTCAGCAAATTCTGGTTTTGTGCCGATCAAAGATTATGACCTATATTAACGTGCTAGAAACGGGGAAGACTAGCTTGGCACCTCATGCCAGGACTGCGGTTCAATCTCCTGATGTCTAATGTCCGCTGTTACTACATTTTAAAGTCAGGTTGAATTACTTCTCACAATAGGAACTTATTTAAAATGTGTTTACTCTTTTTGATAGTGCATCCTTTGCCTTCTTTGACAAAGCATCTGACAATCTTTCAGTAAGGATTGTCTGCCTTTCTTAACAAAAAAGAAGAATGGCATTTGCTACAATAATTTAAATTGCTAGGCTTAAAAATAAAATCCGGTTCCTAAGGTTTTTTTGTTTTCAGTGGGACTTACATTACTGTATCCAGTAATACAACCAATATTTAGTTCAGACATTACTTAGTGGCTTGCTCAAGAAAGCAGCATATCCAGACACTTGAGTTTTCCTGTACCTTGTGTGGCAGATATGCCTGTCTCTTGTAGTTTAAAAATGTTCTTGTTGGAAAATCCTCGTTTACAGGACTACATCTAAAAGGGATTTTCTAAGCACTTGGGAACAAAGATGTCAGAATGTAAAAATACCAAACAGTGACACTTGGTGGTTAGTAATGTAACTTGCACATTTCTTGCCATTAGAATACATGAGATGAAAAATGATCCTCAGCTTTTCAGTCATATTTAGTAGCTTGATTGCTACGGTTTATGGAAGTTTGTACTTCCTGAGCATCTTTCAAAAGCTTTATAAGCCTCAGATAAGACCCATGGTGTTCTGTGGCGCTGAGGCATATTTGAATTTTTCAGATGCAGAAACTAGAAACTAACCGATTGCCAAAATGTATGCAGTTAATTATTACACAATGCAAACTGATTTGATACCTGCTCTACTCCCTGGGCCACACGTCCCTTTACGTCATGTCATAATTTCTTACATCTTCCTGGCATATACACTCCCACTGCCTTTTGAAGCAAGCTCTATGTGTATTGGAAGTTATTAGATTTTCATGAAAAAGGTGTTGGCTATCTGTTTATTCTCCAAATATGGCCAACTTAGAAGTTATTCTAATCAAATAAAGATTATTCAGCATAACTGAATGCCTAAAAATCACAAAATATGAAGAAAAAAAACAGTAATGTGACCTCGCATTATTTGACTGGCTGAACGTTAGCAGTATCTAGCTGGTCTCATGCAGGTTTGTGTTTCCCAATTGCACAAGAGACACACCAGGCTTCCAAAACCTGCAGGTCACTGGCAGTCAGCACTGTCTTGTGATCACTGCTCTACCCCAGGGCCTGATGGCCCCGTAGAAACTTACCCGAGACCTGCGTCAGCTGTAAGAAAGAGCCACACCAATCCCTATCTTACTCCTTTCGGGTGTAAAAACAGGGAGGAACGGCTTATTTTACTATTGCTTTCCAATCTCGCCATGAGTTGCATTTTACGAGAGTAGTAACGCCCAGAGCGGGGAGTGGTTGAGGTACAGAGAAAACCTTATGATCTGAAAAGGAGCTGTTTGGGCACATGATACTTAACCTTCTTGTTTCTATCTGAGAAAAACGGCTCAAGGAGGTGGAAAGAAAGGATAAAACCAGAAACAGTAAAAAGAGACAGTCCTGATGGCTGAAATACTAGCTGACCGTTTCACAGTGTTTTTGGTCTATACTCTTGAATGATTTTTGGTGAGGGCAGGAGGTGCTGTTATTGATGCTTTCAGCAAGAGGGGAGTAGGAAGATACAGGGTATATAGGGATGTCTATATTGCACTGTTAGCCAGGAAGACTGCTGTGCTGTGATGTGTTTGAAGGAGATTCCATTGCTTTTTCTCTGATGATGCTCTACCGTACTTTCCCGGTCAATTATGCCCTGAGGGAAATGGGACCAATGTCATGATGATGAATGTAAAATTCTTCACACTGTAACTGAAGTATCTGTTTTGTAAAATACTCTGAAATATTTTGTCTGGCTGTTATAGGAGATGAAAGTCACTATAATCTATGAATTATCAAAAGAGTAGGAATTCTGGATCTTTTGTATATTAACTCTGAAAATTAATACCTTGTACGAGAGTATAGTCATCAAAAGAGTCTTGTATTCAGGCTTTTCTGAAAGGTGGAAATATTTTCACATGGAATAAGCATCTTTCAAGTATTTTCACATTAGATGGAAATACTTTCATCACTTGAGGCCCTTCTTGGAAGTCATTCAACTATGAGAACACTTGCTTTTATTAAAAGACTGTTTAAGCCAGTGGGATTCCTGGAATGCCTGAGCCATTTATGCTCCTCTATAGACTTTTCTTAGTGCATCTTAACTCAAAGAACATTTTCTTTGATCCTCACAGACTTAATGGTGGTAAGAAATAGTCATCTCATTAAAACCGTGAAGGCTTAGACTGGCATTTCTAGTCTGTCTTACAAGGAATTTTGTTTTGACTGGAGTAATTCTGGCATCCTTGGTTACAGAATTTCAGGTATAGTTATCTTAGCCCATGTGATACGGTGCATGTGTATATAGTGTACAAATGCATCTACACCCATTACACAAAATAATAACACAATTATTGTGTTATTATTTTAGTCTATTTAGTTTATTATAGTAGTTTCAGAAAAAATAGCAAGTACTTATTAAAATATTAAGGTTTACCATATGTCAGTGAAGTAAGCATTGATAAACTGAAACAGATGTTACTTTAAAAGTATTGCTAACATGAGCTATGCCGATCACATTTTAATACAGAGAATATTAAATTGCAAAATAGGAATCTATTGTTAATCTTATGCATGAGACAAATTAACAAAACCTGGCAGGGTCCTCCTAGATTTTTTTTTATCTTTTATTGGAGGAAGAAGAGAAGGGGAAAGGAGCTGGGTGAACAGAGAGGTTGCTTGGACTTGATTTGAAGCAATTGTTAAGTTACTTGCCTTAGTACTCTTCAGAGCCACAGGCTCTGCAGAGAAGTGGCTTCTTTTTAAACTATATATGCAAGTGTCTCTGGCCAGTCCTCTGTCTCTAAAGTCTCGTGGAGAAAGGAAATTCACCTGCAAGGTCAAAAAGGAAAAGACAAGATGGACTATATGAGGACTACCTTAGCTGGTCACTCCTTGAGGAAGTAGAAAAGATGAATGCAGAGAATGATGGATTATTTCTGCTTTAAGTATAATGTAATTCCTGGGGGGTGAGGGGGAAAGGGGGTAGGTGAAAGATGGAAATAATGCCACAGAGGCAAAAGTCGTGCTATCTCATTAAATTCCATAAAAAGCTATACTGGAAACAAAGCAGGTCAGAAGTGGAAAACCACCTACCTACATTTATAAAAAAGATTACATCTTTGTAATTGTACCTTTTGACTTCGTACAGCAGGAGAATAAATGGTTAACATCTTTAAGGAATGATCTACCTCGATTATCTCAGGGAAACATCTCAGAATAGGGAAGTTTTATGAACAGTGACTTGAGGATAAAATATTTAGACCTCTATGACATCATTTCTCCTCAACGAGACCTCATTTTGTCCCTGTAACCTTCCCTCCTAGCACGTTCCCTTGCTGACTTGGTTGTTTCTCCAAAATTTGTCAGTCTCATATCTATGCTTTTCTATTTCTGGCTTTTTGTTTACTTTCTCACAGATATCTGTACTTCTATTTCAGTACTCTTATCTTCTTTTCAGTGAACAAGGTCACAAGTGAAAGTGGGCTTTGGCAATTCCAGTATTAGCCAACTGACATTAATTGACATCATGGAACTGTTTGCACTGTCATGGTAGCAGCTCCTGGCTTTAAAAGTTCACATGTATTAAATTTCCCAGATACAATTTCAGTTGCTGCCAGTATCAAAAAATTCAGTACTGGGATATGAGTTATGACAGAGCTGTATTTGTCACAAACAAATCCACATTCACGCTTTCAAATCCTGTTTCCATAGGTGCATTGCAAAGGCAGTGCAATATTGTGGCTTCATTTGACTAAGGCACCAGTTTGGCAGGTGGTTTTGTGTCCCAACAAGACCATTTGGTTTATAGCTTCTGATCCTGAGAATAACCTTGCACTTATTTACTACTATGCACCAAATACCTCCAGT